AAAAGATGTGGCAATATTTTACTGACAATCTGAATCCTCTAGATGGGATTTCTTCACTCCAGGAAGAGAAGACAAAGTTACAACGTGTTATAGGTAATTTTAAAGCAAGAAAAATAATGAAAGACGCCCCAACACTCTGAGCATGTTATCTAATTATTGAAAAAAAAAAATCCAAAGAAATATACTCACATGGAGGCCATCATATAGAGCAATCGAATCAACAAGTGATCCCCGAAAGGACAGGCACTCAAAAAAAAGAGAATGATGCGACGGACCTCCCTTGTTTATATGCCTAACCAGGTAGCAAACAGAGAATGAAAAATAACAGTGGGGAATAATTTTATATGCCGATGACAACATTAGTTTGGATATATATATATATATATGAAAAAAAAATTATTAAGAAATTTACAACTCTTGCCAAGAGTTGTAAATAAATGGTATTACTGTAAATTTTGAATCAACAAACGAAAACATTTTTTTGCTGTAATGTTAGAGAGAGAGTTTAGAGAGAGAAGAGCAAGAAAACAGAGAGTATGTATTTGCGGAGTTCTCTGTTTTCTTGTTTTTCTTAAACTCCAAGAATATTTTAGAAGAAAAAACTTTTTTATTGATTGATTTGAATGGTATTTATACACAGAATTAAATTAGAGTCCTACTCAAAAAACATAATTCGAATTCTAACCAAAAACAAGCTTTAAACACATAATTTAAAATAATCCTAAATCGCATGCATGTAGGTGTTCTATATGTATTCTGCCACCTCTTTGTTCGGAGCTTTATTTCCAATAGATTTCTATTATAAATGAAATTCTTATGTCGAACACTCCTCCTTAAGGCAATGGCGATTACTGATTTATTATCGATGTAGAGGACCGTAGGTTCAGTGGAAAGCATCTGTAAATCATCTAGTATTTTCCTTAACCACTGAGCTTGATTTACAGCTCATGATGCTGTTATGTAGATGATTGTGCAATAATTTCTTGCTTCTTTGACGACCATGAAAATGCATCAGAACCAAGTGAAAAAACATACCCCGATGTGCTTTTAGCATCCTCCACACTTCCTACCCAATCACTGTCCGTATATCCTAGAAGTTCTCCTTCTGTGTGAGCTTGAAAATGGATTCCTAGATCAGTGGTTCCTCTTACATATCTTAGGATATGTTTAACTATTTCCATGTATGATTGTCTTGCTGAATTCATAAACCGAGATAACAGGCTGATTGCATAAGTTAGATCTAGTCGAGTGGCAGTTAGGTAGAGTAAGCTGCCAATTATACTCCTGAACTCTTTCTCATACACCATTTCTTCTTCTTTAGCTTTTGACGGTTCAATATGTAGTATGAGAGGGGTAGAAACGACTTTGCAATTTTCAAGCTTGAATTTTTTGAGCAATTCCCTCGCATACTTCTTTTGTGATATGAAGATCTCTTTCTCAGATTGCGCGATCTCCATTCCAAGAAATAGTCGCTCTCCCAAGATTTGACATCTCAATTCCTGCTCTAATTGTGTTCTGAGTTTCTCCATTCTTTGTTCATCATTTTCAGTGATGAGAATATCATCAACATACAGTGATATGATGACCATTTTTCCATCCTTTAGGTGTTTGACATATAGGGTTGCTTTATTCTTGCTTCTTTTAAACCCACAGTGGAGCAGGTATACATCAATTTTGCCATACCATGCTTTTGGAGCTTGCTTCAGACCATACAGTGCTCTATGTAATTTATACACATGATCAGCCTTCTCTTCTACTTCAAATCCTATCAGTTGCTGAACAAATATGTCATCTTCCAATTCACCATTCAAAAAAGCAGATTTTACATTAAGGTGCAAGACATGTCAACCTCTTTGTGCTGCCACAGCAAGCAGAAACCTTATTATTTCATGTCTTGCTACTGGGGCAAATGTCTCGCCAAAATCTACTCTCGATAATTGAGCATAACCTTTTACTACCAAGCGTGCTTTGTACTTATTGATTGAGCCATCTGGGTTCATTTTGAGCAGGAAGACCCACTTAACTCCGATTGCATTTTTACCTTTTGGTTTAGAAACCAGGGATCAAGTGGCATTTTTCTCGATCATGTTCAATTCTTCTTCCATTACTTTTTTCCAAACCCCATGTTGAGCAACTTCTTCAAAAGTTGTTGGCTCTGTAACAGTAATATTGCATTGAGCATAGATGTCAGATAAGCTTCTTGTCCTTTTATTTGGTGATTTTTGTGACTCTTAATTATTCATTTCTTCATTTTCTTTTTGAGCTTGCTTTGAAGTAGAATTTATATCATCAGGGATTATTTTTTCAATTTTCCAATCCCAGTGAGATGTTTCATCAATTACCATATCCCTTCTTATCATAACCTTTTTGGTCTTAGGATTGAAAACCCTGTATCCTTTTCTTTTTGTACTATAACCCAAAAAAATACAAATTTCTACTTTGTCATCCAGCTTCTTCCTTTTCTCTTCTGCTGCATAACAGTAATAAATGGAACCAAACACCCGTAGATGCCTTGTAGCAGGTTTCCTTCCATTCCAGCATTCATATGAGGTCTTTCCCTCAATAGCCCGAGAGTAAAGTCGGTTCAACAAGTATACAGAAGTGTTCATGGCTTCACACCAAAATTGCAGAGGCAGTTGTTTATCCTTGAGTAAGCTTCTTATTATCTCAACCACAGTTCTGTTTTTTCTTTCTGATACTCCATTTTGCTGTGGAGAGTAGGGGGCTGTTGGCTGTCGTTTTATGCCTTCTTTAATACAGAAATTCTTGAACTCCGTTGAAGTAAACTCCAGACCATTATCTGACCTCAAACACTTCAGTTTCATTCCACTTTCTGTTTCTGTTTCAGCTTTGAACCCCTTAAACTTTTAAGAGCTTCATTCTTTATTTTTAGAGTGATCATCAATAAACAGGATGAAGTACCTATTGTTGCTTAGTGACTCTGTGCTCATAGGACCACAGATATTTGTGTGGATCAATTCAAGCTTGGTATTTGCTCTCCAGGAAGACTTTGAAGGGAAGGGTTGTCTGTGCATCTTCCCAAGTTGGTAGATTTGGCAGATCCAGTTTTCTCCTATGATTTCAGGAAGATCTAGACTCAATTTTAATGAGTTCATCTTCTTGAGAGCTTCAAGATGCACATGTCCAAATCTTTGATGCCATAGAATGGTGTCGTTTTGAGCAGCGCACCTTAGTTTTTCTTCAGCTCCTTGCAGCTTCAAGGTGAAGCTTCTGTTGATCATTGGAATGTTTGCAATTTCATACTCACGTGAGTCTTTTATGGAGCATGAATTTTTTTTAAAGACCACGGTGGATCCCCTTCTGATTATTTGGCTCAAACTTAACAGATTTTACCTCAGGCCAGGCACATACAGGACGTCAGATATGACCCTTTTTCCTTGATTCATGGTTACTGCGATGCTTCCTTTTCCTTCTGCTCTTAATGCCTTTCCATCACCTAGAGTTATGTTGAGTTTTGTATCCTTATTAAGATCAAAAAATATTCTTTCATTTTTGCACATGTGGCTTGTACAGCCACTGTCAATTATCCAGTGAGTGTTAGCTTCCTCTGATTACTCGCTGAGTGTCATAAACATCTACTCTTCTCCTTCGGTTTCTTCGATATAATTTACTTCTTGTTAAGACTGATTTTGAGTATAAGAAGCAGCTGTGTTCCCTTCATATTTTTTCTTCCATCGGCACACATTTTCGACGTGTCCGCCCTTCTTGCAGTAATTACACTTGATCGAGTTTTTCCCTTTATACCAGCAATCTTGTTCTAAGTGGTTATTGCGAGCTCATATTCTGCAGTTTGGTAATCCTTTTTGCTGCTTATTGTTATGCTTGTTTGAATTTTGTGTTGATTGTGTGACTTGATCATCTTGATTTCTTCTTCCTCCTCTTCCTCTGCCTTAATTCTTGCTTCTGTTTTGTGTAGCTACTAGTGCTCCTTCGGTGGATTTTGCTTCTCTCAAGGTTGTCCTATGCTCCAATGTTTGCAGCTTGCTCAATAGTTTTGCAACCGAGAGAGTTTTGAGATTGCACGTTTCTTCTATCGCTGAGATTTTGGCCTCGAATCTGGTAGGGAGACTCACCAACATTTTTTCAACTACTCTTCTGTCTTCGAAGTCTTCTCTGAGTAATTTGATCTTATTTACTGTATCAAGTAGTTTTGAGGCAAACTCCTTTACGGTTTCTGCCTCTGCCATCTTCAGTGTTTCAAATTGCTTTCTCAGATTCAGAACTTTCACCATCTTGATTCTTTTATCACCTTCAAACTCCTCCTTTAACTTGTCCCATACTTGCTTTGGGTTTCTCAAGTTCATTATCCTGGAGAAGACCGAATCTGATTTGCCGCCTGCAAATAAGACAGAGCCCGAGGTTTCTTAGAGACATATTCTTCATACCTCTTTAGTTGGTTTATTGTTGCATCATCTTTCAATGATGCTGGTTCTGCATCGTCTTCCACGACCTTCCACAGGCTATGGGCTCGCAGATACGTCTCCATCTTTATTGCCCATACGTGATAATTTTCTCCCGTAAATAGAGGAGGATTTAGTGTGTCAGTCGGGTTTGTTACCATTCTGTATTTTGTTTTTTTGATTTCTTCTCAAAGATCCCTTAAGATCATACAGCTCTGATACCACTTATAGATTTTAAATCAACAAACGATCACAATTTTTTGCTGTAATTTTAGAGAAAGAGTTTAGAGAGAGAGAGAGGGCAAGAAAACAGAGTATGTGTATGCGGAGTCCTCTGTTTTCTTATTTCTCTTAAACTTCAGAAATTTTTGAGAGGAAATAACTTTTTTATTGATTGATTTGAAGTGATATTTATACACAGAATTAAATTAGAGTCCTACTCAAAAAACATAATTCGAATTCTAACCAAAAACAAACTTTAAACACAGAATTTAAAACAATTCTAAACCGCATGCATGTTGGTATTCTCTATGTATTATGTCACCTCTATGTTCGGAGCTTTATTTCAAATAGATTTCTATTATAAATGAAATCCTTATGTCGAACAATGACTCTTCTGAAGATTACCAAGCAAAGCAAACAGAAGTTGAGATATATATATAAAAGAAAAGAAATAAAACACATATGTTCTTCCCCTACTCAGTAGCAACAACGAGAGCAAAAGCAATCACAGCCACTAGCAACAAAACTGAAGCTATATATATGTGTGTGTGTATATATATGTTAAAAACCCAAATCAAATCAACAGACAAGACCCAAAAAAACTTACTTTCTATCTGGACTTCTTCCACAAACACAGAAAAGAGGAAAGCATACCAGCAATCTAATAGCAAAGATAAAAGCATTAGATATAAAATAAAGAAAAACATACCAACAAATCACGAAGGGAAATGGTATTTTCCAATGAGTTTAGATAGAGAAAATGCTTTGAAAAAGAGAAGGGAAGATGATTTTAAATGGAGACGAGAAAAAATAAGCAGATCGCGTGATAAAGGAAGCAGATCGAGAAGAAGAGAAGCATATGGAGAAGAAGAGAAGAAAAGAAGAAAAGAAGCTGGTTGGGTTGTTGAAAAGGAAAATGAAGTCTAAAATGAGGGTTTTTTAAAGGGTAAAATAGTAATTAACAAATTTTAATAAGGGTATAATCGAAACAAAAATATGAACTCATTAAAAACCACCGAATCGGTAGTTTTAAAATTTTTTTCAAATTTTACCTTTTGGATACCATTGAACACCCTAAACCAACCATATCATCAACAAACAAATATAATTTCATCATCCCACCACCATATCCTATATTAATGAACCACAAAATAACACCATCCAAACAGAGAGTGAGTGCGCGAGAAGAATGATCTAGTCCCTAACCCTCAGATCTATTATTTAATTCATATAATTTAACTCATAATTATTTGGCCTAGTATTTATTGAGAAATATGTAGATTCATTAAACAAAAATTTTAAATATAAATCTTATATAATTTTGGATTGTAACCAAGAAATGATGATGGTGAGTTGTAATATTCACACTTAATGATGCATGAGTTAGGTTTAAGTTGTTAGATGATTAGGGTTTAGAGATAGATTAGAGTTTTGGGAATTTAAAAATTAATTAGGGATTTTGAAGAACAAGGGGGGTAATTAATCTATGAAAATTTGTAGGCTAGTTGGAAGTGTTTAGCCACTGTGTAGAGACCCAAAGAAGAGATGAATGGTGTAGATAATTAAATTGAAAATGTTAAAATATAAATGAGCTAATTGAAATTGTAGAGTCCCACAAAAAAAAAAAAAAAAGAATGGTAAAATTAAATTAATTAAATTGAAAAGGTTCAATAGGCCAAATATAAATTCCTTAAATGAATTAATTGGAAGTGTTGGGCCACTGTATAAAGGCCCAAAGAAGAGAAGAATTGCGTAAATGAATAAATTAAATTAAGAAGAGTATAATGGGAAAAATATAACATCCTTTAATGGGCTAATTGGGAGTGTTGGGCTACAGTCTAGAGGCTGAGAAGAGAAGAATTGTATAAATTAATTAATTAATTAAACTAAGAGGGTTATAATGGGCTAAACTTAAATGCCAATGGATTAATGGTGGTTTTTGGGCT